CAAAAGGCATTGGCACCCGGTGCTCTGCTGCTGCCAAAGGAGAAGTTTGCAAAGAAGCGATAAGGTGGCTTCCTCAAATGTAATGTGCAAATAAGTTGAGATCTGTAGCAATATATAGAAGAGCTTCTCTGGTTTAGAAACCATGTCAGAATGTCACAACTGACACCTCTGGTTAGCTCAGTTCCTAAAATCCATGGCATGCCAAGAACATCCCTTGTCTTAAAAGGAGGGAAGTAGTGGACACCAAGTATTTGACCAAGTTTCTCATGCACCTATATTATTATGACACTGAGAAAGAAGGAAAGTGTTACTAGCTAGTCTTATGATACCACGGTTAATTTTGACTGCATCCAAAAGCAGCCCGTTGAATTTTGCTTCATATCTTGCTGGTGCCCATGGCTGTTTTGCTTCAGCTAATGAAAACTGAAGTGTGGAGTGTGGGTGGCTCAGTTTGCCTAGCTTACAATGGGTTAAATGAGAGGCCTTCCCATTATCTATTTTGAGCTTCTTTGTTCTGTGGTCTGCCACACCACCACACACACACAAAGATACATTAAAAAGCAGGGACAATGGAGCTATTTTTACAAATACGGAGAGCACATTATCAGAAGAAAAGCAACTTTTCTTCCCTAGTGCTCTAAAGCAAATAAGTAAAAAATAACGGTATGGTCCTTCAAGCTTTTATATGTGGTTTTCATTTTTTGCTTTGGCCCAATTTGTAAGATGTGAGTCTGATCTAGAAAATGCTTTGATGAAGTAGTTAGCAGATAAGAAATGGTTCCTTGCTATTAGAATTCTGAGATCAGGCTTTGGTTTTTGAATTAATATTTTGCCTTTTCAGCAAAACAATGAATACATACATCTTCAGCTATTACTTAATTCAGTTCTGTGGACATTCTTGGATATTTACCAATATGATCATCAGATTCCTTTCATTTGGGGAAGGTAGGCCCATGCCATGCCTTTTTCTTTTTGCTAAAGCTTGTTGAGAAATAAGTTACATGATAACTAAAGTAGAGTTAACAGTGATACTGGCGTAGAAATTGGGGCTTGAGAAGTCTAAGACCCTTTTCACACATATACCATGTATGAGGTAAATTCCCCCCTCAGGAAAAAAAATTGAGAGAACCACTCTATTTACATTTTTATTCATTGAGAAGCTATTATAAAATCAAAAATAGTGACAGTAGAACTATAATATCAGTCCAAATGAGTTCTCTTATTGTTATTCTCAAAATAACAAACAGGAAACCATGGTTTATTTTTCAGTATCCACTTATCCCTCTGATGATGATTTCTTTGAATTCATGAGAAAAATGGCTATCAAAATGACAGGCACGACCAAACAATCAAAGTCCTGCCCCTTTTAAAAGTGTGTTGTTGTATGCATTGCACACATATAAAGAGTGGTGAGGTGAAGTGCCCCGTCACGCCTGCTGTTTTGACATTATTGGCACCCCCCCTTGCAGATTCCCCTGGAGAAGAAGATGCAGGCACTGTGGGCCCAATCATTTTTTTATTGCAATGTATGCTTCAGACCCTCATTTTAGACTTCCTGGTGTTGAACAGAGGACCAAAGGTGAATCATACATGTTAGCCTAAATGCAAATGCAGTTCACAGTTGGGACCAACCTACTTTTTGGCCTTATGCATTCAGATGGTTATGTGAAATAGGGGTGATTTCATCCCAATTCCTGGAAATGGGAAGATCCCAAAAAACAAAGAACCAGTACCAAAGGCTAGGGCAAGGATGCTCTAACTCTATAGTGTTAGACCCTGTAAATGATGAGCAAAGATGTGATCCCTTATGAATAAAACCAAACTATGAATAAAACTGGCATAATTGGCAGGTAGGTTTGACAAATGGCTAGATCCATGGGTTTAGCCATTTCTCAAAACTCATTCCAGGTTTTGCTCTCCACATAGATACAGTGGAACCTCGGGTTACGAACGCTTCTGTTAACGAACTTTTCGGGTTACAACCAGCTCCGGCCGCAATATTTTGCTTCGGTTTGCGAACTACGCCTCAGGGTACGAACAGGATATGCGGCCATTTTCCCTCCCGTGACACGGTCCGTGGCCATTTTCCGCCCGACATGTGGCCCGTGGCCATTTTTCCGCCCCTGACACGTGGTCTGCGGCCATTTCCCCGCCCGACACGTGGTCCGCGGCCATTTTCCGCCCGACACGTGGTCAGCGGCCATTTTCCGCCCCTGACACGTGGTCCGCGGCCATTTTTCCGCCCCTGACT